TTTTTATCTTAAATTATGTAATTAGTTTTATTATATATTTATTTACTTTCACACATATTTAGATTTATCATTTAAAGGTCTATTTATTATTGATAATAACCAGTCCCCTATAAAACTCGATCCAATCAAATTTAAAATATAAACTCAATATATAATAAACTCCACCCAATACCTTATTCAGGGTTGGAAGTGCAGGGGGTGTCGGTTGGTGATGGAATATGTTTGTTGTTTTGTATTGAGTTGTATGTTGAATACCTTTTTCGTAGTGCTGTGGTTTAGTTGTTTTAGCTTATCCATTCCCATGGTTGTGTGCTGTCGATGTAAACAATATGCTGCGGTTGTGCTTTTGGCCATGGGACTGTTTCTTTGATTTGCTGTTTTGTACTTTTGTTTCGTTACACACTTGTTTGGGGTACTCTTTTTTTCTTTATGTAGGTTAGGAAAGATTTATAACAAGGTGACTGCCTTTTAATATATATATATATATATATATATATAAACTTAATTAAAATTTTCAAATAATTAATTAAATATAGAATTAAATTATCAAATATGAAATAATCCTATTTAATTGTTATATTAATTTAATTAACTGCGTATAGACATTTAATTTGAGTACGATACTTTTATTTTTCTAATATATAGTTTAATTAAAAAATCAATTTACTTACTATCAGTTGGTATACTATAATAACTTAGATTATTTAAGGAAATTAAGTGCTTAAATTAATCTAAGTGACTAAAAAATCAATTTAGTTTAGTTGATTTTAGAAATAATTTTTTTTAGTTAAATTTCAATAATTTAATCAATTTGTTCATTACTAAAATGAGCTGCCGCCTCCCATATTTCCCCCATACACATTGCTACCTTCTTGTATTTTCTTCCCCGTCTCTGCTTTCACTCCATTTTCTCTCTTCTTTTTCTTTTCATTTTCTTCCCCTTTTCTCTTTGTCTCCCTCACCTTCAGCTTGTGGCCACCTCCATATATCTCACTCACCGCCCCTCTTTTCCTCACTTAATCTCACATTGTCGCCAGCTTTGACCCTCTTCCACTCTGCTCCTCAACAACACATTGGGTAAGTAGTGACTCTTGTTGATTTCTGTATATTCTCTCTCTCTCTCTCTCTTATATTTTGTGAACTTTTGGGCTTCATTGTTTTCTTTCTTAATTTCTCTTGATTCGATCATCTCCGTATTATAACTATAGGTTTGCTTTAAATATTATTGTTTCTCTTTGATGAGTGCTTTTTCTTCTTGCTGAAATTTGACCTAAACGTCTATTTTGGTGGCAGTAGTTTCAGGAAGTTTGAATCCTTTTACTGGAAAGGGGGGAAACCAGTATGCGTTCATGGACAGCAGCGGAGTCAGACATGGTAGCGAAGAATCGATTAGTAGGGTTCCTACTATGGCAATCGATTCTAAGTAGCTTGATTTACTTGGCGTTCGCGATAACGATCGTGTACTGGCGCTCCTTCACCGCGATCTTCATCTCCTTTTTCAGCTTTCATCTCTCCCAGCTGCTCTTCTCGGTGTCCCTCTCGACCGTCTTATCTCCCCAGCCTAAACTTAGACGCATTTTGCCGGTGTTGCTGGCCGCGGCGGCTGTTTCGGGTTCTCTCTCGGCGGTGTCCCTTTGTGGGTCAATGGAAAAGTGGGGTTTAAGGGTTTTGTTTCGGGGTTATTCTTTGTTGCTTTTTATATTTATAAGCTGCGATGGGTATTGCAGTTCCCCATTATTCAGGTGAATTGATGTTGTTAGTGTTTATTGTTCTAAATTGTTTCTTTTCTGTTTTATGACTTGTTTTTTTTTGCTCTCTGTCGACAGCGTCTCCTTTTCTTTATCTTCAAGATGGGGATCCATTCCGCCATTGCTAGAACATTAAATCTTTCTGCTGCAGCTTATTTATTTTCAGCTCTGCTGTTGGTATTTCTGCCACACGGTTTTGGCACTGATCTCGAGCTCGGAAACTTTTTTTCTCAACATATAATCTCGTACGCTGCCGGCTTTTCTATGTTTCTCTGTTGGGAGTTGACTCACCATTTGCATCAGGTTGGTTTGAAACATATCAAAATTATTATCATTTCTTACACATTGTGTGATTAAGGTTCAAATTACTGTTATTTCTTACACTTTTAGGCCAAGTAAATCACCTTTCTAATGCCTAGACATATTCTCTTTGACCTATAGTGCTTCTTTGTGAATGAAGAACTCATGATTTAGGTGTCGGATTCGAAAGAGGATAAAATCTCTAAATAGATTCTATTCATGCACTGTTAATTATGTCGGTCAATTAAGCATCTGTACTCATAGTTGTTGCCTAAGAAACACAGCCATTCTTGCTTCTTCTTTCTCGTCTTCCAAAGCAGCTAGTTCCTCTTTTATATTCCATCTTCCCGACCTTCATAGCTGTATTGCTCATCAACTATTTGTAGTTTACCAAATCTCTTGTCTGCGCTCAAAATGCTAAACTGATATCTTCTTCTTGGTTAATGTTTCACAGCTACTGATGTTTCTTAATATAAATCTTTCATTTCACTTATAATCATGTTCTATTATAGGTGCTACATACAAAAAGGTTCATATTTGCACCACCGAAAGGATCGGCAGCAGCAGAAACGAATCCAAGTGAGCCTCTCCTAGCTGCACTAGAGGAGACCTCTCCAGCTTCCTTTCTGAAATATCTTGCATACCTTGATCTTTGTATGGTTTGTGAGAATAATGTTGACTACTGGCGTCGAGCGGCCTTCTTTGAAGAAACTGGTGAGACTTACAAAAGAGTTGCAGCTGTATGCTTGAGACCTTTGGATCAGCTTGCATCAAAGTTGGTCCAAGGCTTTGAAGGTTCTTCAGATGATAGAACATGCTCAATATCTGGCCAGTTGCAGTCATCAACTGACCGCCAGAATTCAAATGCTCTGAACTAATGAACGACTTCCAGGTATGGCACCATATTCTAGAGTCGTGCATGCATCCATTCCGCGTGTTCTTCATGTAGGACACCACAATGATAGAGTCCAAACATGTAACTTGAAGTTAATTGCTGGTTTATTTGTGTAATTTGTTCATTTACGATTATAAAGAGGAGTAACACAAAGCTTTGATTGATGGCTGAATAGAAGGAAAGGGAAGGGCAAATAAATTATATAATGTTATGTAATATAATATAGTAAATTGATCTCCAAGTTATTCACCTTATGTGCAATACATATCCAACACTCACTGCCATCTCTGGGTAACTATGTATGTTTTCCAACATGACTTTCTTTTGTAGGTTTATTTGCTTAAATGCTCTTGTTGTGGGTTCTCTTGTTTCTGTCATCGCTTGCTATATATAACCTTATTGCATATCGAGAACATTGAAGGCAGTGGAGCATTGCTTTTTGAGGCTAATCGTGCTCATCTGAGGTTGGATTTTACCCTTTTTAGTAATGTCCGATGTTTTTCTCTTGCATGAAAATTCATGTATATTCATCGACTACTTGGTTCATTTTTTGCTTTTCTATGGGGGTTTTGAGCAATGTAGATCAATTAATTTGTATTGTACTGAACAAGCCAAATTTAATAATACATTTGTTGTTGCCTTTTTACAGGTATACACATGGTCTGCTCGAGCAATTGCTTCCTTGACTGCACACTCGTGAAAAGAAGATAGATTCGGAGTTGCTCAACTCTCGGGTAGCAATGCCGCTGTCATCTCAACGCTCATAGCTTCTTTGCTTGCTGTTGAGACATTGATGGGGAAAAATATAAGCTTGCAACCATCTCATAATTTGATGGGAGCATTTGGCACTAAATCGGCTACTTTCAGTGCCGGAAGAAGAGATGCTAGAGACGGAAAAAGGAGAGATGACCCACTATATGCAAAAGCATACGCCATGGCTGATGTTTTAAGGACTTCAATTTACTGCATCGTGTCTGCTTTCCACCATGAGATGCTGGCTAGTGCCAAAGCAGGCCTTCTCCAGAAGGATTGGATCACCAGTGGCAAACCTCCGTTTGGAACTCGCGAGTTGCTGTCGCAGAAATTGCATCTTTTCCTTGATTTCCAAGCAAGTTAAACTATTATAACAGGAAAAAAATAGAAAATGTTGTTTCAGAGGATTGAATGCTGGCATATCTCACATTTGGGCTCATCGTCCCTTTACTGGTGCTTTTGTCGGACCAAATCAGCCGTCATGGAAAATTTAACCAAAAGTGAGGACTATAGGTGCTTTTCCATTTCTATTGTCTCTGAAAGAAAAGACTTGTAAGGTTTTGATGTTGCAGCATTATGCTATGATTAAGCGTCTCACATGATATGAATTAATTACCATATTTTGTTGCAAAGTTTTGGAATTCTATCTTTTAAAATGGTTTCGATTCGATATATATATATATATATATATATATATATATATATATATATATATATATATATATATATGTCATTGTGAATTTGGAGAGAAAATCAATTATGCTGTATTAAATGAAGAATCCAAAAGCAATTATTATATCTAAGGTCGATTAAATATAAGCTGATAATGGAATGAATGCAACATAATTAGTATTTAAACCCATTTAATTCACATGATGTTAAAATTTAAATATTAATAATAATAAATATTAAATTAAAATATAAAATCTAACAAAAATAGATGTTAAATTAAAATTTTGAATAAATAATTTATAGTCCATTAATTTGTCAAGGAAACACTGATTGTGCGGGTAAAGTTGATTGATTAAGCTTTCTGATATATATATATATATATGGATCGTTTTAAGAGTTATTTTAATTTAAAGAACAAATATTTTTATATTATATTTTATAATCAATTTATTTATATATTATAATAATTAATTTTATTCGAAATTATATTTATTACAATATAATTTTATTTATGTATCATATTAAATGATTTTTAATATAATTACAAAAAATATATTTACAAAATGACAAAAGTGAAACAAATACAAACAAAATCTAAATCTTGTACTTATCTCAATCTCGCACAGACGCACACCTCATCCTCATAAAAACCTACACTAGTGCAATCAAATAAATAAATAAAAAGTAACGAATAAGCCGAGCCATAATGACGTCATCAATAGAGAAAGTCCGGTTCACGCTCAAATGATTCATTCGGTTTGAGACCGGTAAGCCAAGGCCGTTTTCTCCGAACCGAGGGAAACCGAAGCGTACCGGACGGAGAAAGACCGGAACCCACCGTACACGTTATCGACGTCTTCCGAATCACCGATCTGTCCCTGGCCTTCATCGAAATTCAAAGCGTAACTCAAAGGATCGTAACGGAATTGTCCGTGCCTACCGCCGCTACCGCTTTTATTCCGGTTGAATCTCCTTATAAAATTCTTCCACCGAGGACCGGCGACGATCTCGGACCATTCCCGAACCTTCTGGAATACCGTAAAGCTTCGTATCCAAAATCCAGTACCTGGCTGAACCTGTGACGACGTGCTGCTTATCCGCTGCCAAAAGGCTATACCTACGGAGGGAGTACGACGGTAGCTAAAGCAAGGGAAACAGAAGCAGCAACGAGTGTTCCGTACGAGGGAATTCGACGTCGTATCGTCGGTCATTGCTGTGTCTACATCAATTTGAGCTGCTGCCATCGTTGAGATCGAAAACCTAAATCTCTGGCTCTCTGCTTTTCTATCTCCGGTAAACGAATTTGAAGAAAGGGTTTGACTGAACAGCGAAGGAGGAGAATTCTAATAGTGTTATCCAATGAATATCAGCCATTAGATTAAAACACATTCGATCTCAACCGTTAATTTCTGATAAATATAAATATTATTAATTTATTTTATAAGATTATATGTATCATATTTGTAAAAAATAATAAAATATTAAATCTATTGTTTTGTGAAGGGTAGGCGAGATGAGTAATTCCCACAAGTTAAGCAGTTTCATTGGTGAGCCACTGGTCAACACCATTGTTGTGATTAAAAAAGGATTTGTGCAGGCAAATATTACAAATATCTCCTGTGTCCCATATGGATATTTTGTTCAAATTAAATTGCAATATTTTATAAGACTATTCCTATTTGGATTATACTTTCTCAATTAAACAACAAAGTTGAAAATAACATAAATAGAAACGTAGACAGAAATATAAAAAAAAATATTATTTATGCACTCCAAAATAATGATTTTGGTATTACTAAAGGTCTCAGATTCTTCGAGCACCATAGACTGTAAAGATGTTTAAGCTTTTATTATTGTCAAATAGTTAAGAATATTTACGAGAATTCTAAGGGAAGGAAACGAAATGCTCCCGGTGGATCTAGAAATCTAAAAAAATACAAAGGGACAGAGATGAATAATTTTATCAAACGGCCAAATGTAATTGCTCGACATGAGAAATTACTTAAATGTATTAAGTTGTTTTTAATTAATTTTTATATATTATTAGTATTTGATCTATTGATTAATTATTCAGCTTGAATCTTGTAGAAATTTATTACTATATAATACTCTCAATTCAAGTTTTTTCATTTATAATATCAATATTTTAACTTCAAACTTTTACCCAAGAGACACGGATAACTAAGTTTTTTTTATTATTAATTTGTGATTGTAAAGGAATAAAATCTATAATTAGAAGGTGATGTTTGAGGAGAAATTAAATAAAAGAATGATGTTGGGGAAAACTTCAATGTAAAGAAAAGCAATTTAGTTGGGTTGATTTTCGATTCAGCACCTAACTAAACTGTTTGACGTTCGTCTTAACTTGTGATGTGACCAAATCCTTCTCTATGCTAACTTTATTAGTTTGAGCTTTTTCATGTACTGCCACTGCTGCTTACAGAACGGCCTCAACAAGATATTACAAATGCTTGAAAACTGTCCTCCTAACAACCTTCTGTTCGGTCGCCCTTTTTTACCTTTTCTTTTCCCTTTTATTTCAAAACTCAGTTTGTTATTTTTATGTAAGAAGGGTGACCAGACCCAGAAAGCATCACTATTGTCTGATAGATACTTGAATTAGAGTACCGAGTTGCTTAACTCACCCGAGTTCCTTCCTATTATCACCCTCTCTTTTTTATTAGGGACGGAATTAAGATCAAATATTTAAAGGATAATATCAGGATATCAGAGGCCTTAATATCTTGAATTGTAGAAATTGTGCTTTTGATCCTCCTATATTATAAACGTATTGATTAATGAAAGGAACAAATTCTACTTTGATTTCAATATTTTAGAATTTAATCTTCACCCATATGATATCGAATGCTTTTATTGAAATCACAACTCCTATAGAGAGTCAACCACTCTTTTAATGTATTGAAGTATGTTTATGTGAATTTTTCCCCTAAAGAGATAATATTCAGTAAGTTCGAAATTCGAATCTCGAAAACTATAATCCTTATTCACGTATTGTGTTTCAATGAAGGCAGTAGTAAAGTTTAAGTCAGCTACATGTGAGACTCTTCAACACCTTGGATTCCTTGTTTTGAGATGGCTGGATAATGTTGGACCATAGGCTCTCATTTTTCTTCTCAAAAAAGAAAAGTAAACAACGCACATTTCTCAAGTAATCGTTAGCATAGATGGGGTTAATCACCTAATTAAATTGCTGAAATCATATCTATCTAATCACCAAGCAAATAACTCAATGTGACAAACATTTAAAAGATTCTTAATTAGTGGGTTAAGCACTTAAATTAATCACTTAATCAAAGACCAAATCAATATCCGATTTGAAGTTAGAGATTGCATTAATTAATGGAGAAAAGGGGAAAGGAGTTTAGTGGAGAATGGCAATCAAATGCGTGTGGATGAGAGGGAGATTTAATCAGAAAGTTTGGTGGAAAAATGTTGCAACAGATAAAGCACTAGAAGATAGTTACAAATCTCCAAACATTGATTCTTTGTTCCTCCCCACCATCACTTTAAATTCCACTTCCGCTCTTCTCTTGATGCATATTTGCTTCAAGGAAGCTAACCCAACATGGAGAGATCAAACCCCAAATCTGCATTAAAGGTCATCTTCTTCATTTCATTTCATGCCTTTCGATACCTCCACTTTACTTATTCTCATTTAATGTCTTTTACCACTGAGTCCACTCAATGAGTTCAATGAATAAACGTTGTTTATCTCGAGTGTGTATTGTTTCTGATTTTTTTCTGGCAGACAAAAGATCAGCTGAAAGACAAAACTTCCAAAGTAATTAACTTATTTATCTTATCCATATATTAGTTTGCACTGATCTTTGGGTTTAGAAATAAAATAAGGTAAATTTGTATGAATAGGTTGCACCAAAGCCTCCAGCCAAGGAAAATACAAGGCCACAAGAATTCAAGCTTCACACTGGACAGAGAGCTGTTAAGCGTGCCATGTTCAATTATTCCGTACGTAATTTACTCACTATGATGATTTTTTTCGGATCGAATTTTCTTGATTCGGTATCAGATGCATAAATGACGTATAATTTATTGTAATTATACGTTTAATTAATCAGGTGGCCTGTAACATCCGCAATACCGGGTTAGTGACCAAATTGTAAAGTTTCAGAATTTGATGACTAAAGTAGAAGAATGAAATAATTCAATGATTATTTGAATATAATGAAGGTTATTTGGTAATTATTAAAGGAAATTAAGGGTATTATGGTCTTTTCCTTTAAAAGATATTCTTCCCCCTTTTATAAGAGTGAAAAACGTGGGAAATTTGAAAAACATCCAGAGTTCTCTTCTTCTTTATTCTTCTTCATACGTGGGAGAGCAAGGCAAAGGTAAGTTTAATTTCAGTTGGTTAATTCTTGAGTTTTAAGCTTAGTTTTGATTCTTTGGGTATTAAATAAGCTTAAGGAAAGCTTATATGGGATTTAAACAATAAGATAAAGGAATTATGAAGGAATTTGCAATATGAGTTTTAAGATGAAATTTTGATATGGTATGGTTGTTGAAGTTTTATGGATGAATTTGACTTGTCATCAATCTAATTAAGAAGTATGAAGTGTTAGAATTGGAATTAGAACACATTGAAAATTTGGTATGATTCTTGAATCTCATATGGAAGATAGGATTTTAAGGTTTAAGATGAAATAAATGAATATAGATTGGTTTAAGTATGTGTACTAGAGTTACGAATGAAAAGGGGATGAGATATGAAGTGTTTGAGAGGAAATGAAGTAATTTTCGAGTTAAAAATATGATTTCTGGGCAAGGGGAATCGGTACCCATTCAAGGGGAACCGATACCCCTTCAAACGAACAAAAATTTCCATAATGTCATGAGGGAATCGATACCCCCTCAGTAAGGAACCGATTCCCCCTAAAGGAAAAATGTGAATATTGGTTTAATAAGTTCATTTAAGTTGCTAGTATCCAATTAAAAGGTGTAGGTATCTATTAATTGCCTCAAAATGTACATTTATGTAGATTCTGCGCGTAAAGCAATTCCGGAACATTTGGCAAGTAAGATCGATCAAGGGAAGATAAGATTGGAATGGACTAGTGAGGCAAGGTGAGTGCATACTAGTGATATGTAGTGTTTAATGGAAATAAGACTTGCGATGAGTCTATTTCCTAGAGTAATATGCATGAAGTCATGGACATGATTATGTGTGGTTATAATTATATGTGGTTATCTGTATTACATTGATTGTATGTATGAATGACTAAAGATAATGATATGCTTTGTATATGCTATATGATGTATGTAAGACTTTAATATGTAATAATAGAAGAACATGAGATAAATTATATGATAGAGTCATAAGAAATGAAATGAACATGAGAGAATAAGATAATCAAGTATAAGTTATAGGATATGGTATAAGTGATTATACGAGAAATGTTAGGAGACTCCAAGAATAGTATGAATTCGAGGGCATAAATAAGGATACATAAGTAATATAGGGAAGATTGATAAATTAAAGGAAACTATGGTTTATGTATTATAGTGAAGAGCTACAAAGTTTTATTAAAGAGTATTGTGGAAGTCATGAGAAATTGAACTAAATAAATAGATGGTTTATTTGAATAAAAAGGGGAAAATGATATAAAATAAGTTATGAAATTATAGGAATATAGAAGATAAGTCGAGAGATGTAGGGAAATAGAAATAGATGTTTATTAAGAGTCATAGGAGAACAAATATATGTAATATGATAATGAAATATAAGACTATGTGGATACATGGTTATGAGATAAAATATGTAATAATAGGAAATATGATGGAAGTGAGTTTATAAGAAGTGATATGAACTAGGTAAACATGGGTAACAGTATATGCATAATGGAAACATGAGTTGGACAAGTACCTAGTGGTATGATTTATTATGAGAATTAGTATAATGGAGCTATATGAAAAGATTATAATGAATATATGAAATTGAATTAAGTAAAGAGATTAAATTAGTACCTAAATAAAAATACTATTAAATGACATATGTTTAGAAATACAGCATAATTTATAATCTAAGGGAATACAAAGAAATATAGCATAAGGTAGATAATATGATATCCGTTATTATATATGATATATGTCATAATATAAGAACTCTGAAAATTGATATCTAGTGTTCTATATATGAAGAACATATGTATGTATGAATATCTGAGAAATGATCTAAGCTATATGATATGATATGTGTGATTATGTGCACTTTGTGAAATATGTTATATGATATGGATCTATGTAACTACGTGAGAAAGTATATAAGCTATGTGACATGTAAATGTGACTCATATGAAAATGTTCTATGAGTAATTGAACTATGTGTTATGTGAAATGATAAGTATAAAAGAAAATGCCCATGTTATGTGTCTTGAGAGCTAGGGGTATAGTTGGCATGCCAAGAGTAGAGGGTCTACGCGGTCCTTCGGGACAATATTCTACGCGGTCCTTCGGGACAATATTCTACGCGGTCCTTCGGGATATATATATATTCTTTGGAACATGTGTGAAGTCTGGTGAGACACATATATGATCCCTAGCATATGTATATGATTCTTAAGGAATTCTATGTGGTCCTTATGGACATCATTATATGGCACTACGGTGCAATTCTACGCGGCACTTCGGTACATTTATACGAGCTGTGGTGACAGGATAGTGCATAACCTCACAATACTCAGATACCTTAGGTTCTCAATATGATATCATGGGCCAATAAACTCATTAATACAAATTCATGAATGTTAAAGCAATATGCTTACAGGTATGGATATTGGTGATATGAGAACAATGTATGTGATATATGTATATGATTTGTGATATGATGTGTGCATGACATGATATATCTGTGATAGGGGTAATGGTATCTGTTACATAATATGCACAAATATATGTTGATGTATATGTAAATGAGTTGTAGAATTGATAGCATAAAACAGTCATGCATGATTAGTGGGTATGAATTCCATTAGATGTGTTTTCTTTATGCCTCACTAAGTCTTCGACTTAGCGTGTGATTGATTCACACGTAGGTTTCGAGAAGAGTAAAGAGTAATGCGGAGCAAGACAGGTCAGTTTTCCTTACCAAATATCAGATTAGAAAATATAGGTACTGTATATAGAGTGTAGTTGGCATGTAGTCTAAAGACATAAATTGTATGAACTCTGATATATATTTTGTAAACGTTTTGAATAAGTTAAATGTTATCAAAGTTTTTAAATTACTCACTATTTTATACGAATAAATGTTTGAAAAGTCAATGTGACACTTTGGACTCGTATCCGGATCGGATACGGGTTAAGGGTGTTACATTTAATGGTATCAGAGCCATGGTTTAGCCGATTCTCGGCATAAACCGAAGTCCAAAGTGTCATAAAAGATGTACATGCCAACATAGATTGAAAAATTTCTGATCTGATAGTTTAAGGAATATGTTGTCTCGCTAATAGATTAAGAATAGTTTAATACAGTAGAAATCCGATCGTGATAATTTCGAAGTAAGTGAAAGGTGATATTCCTGATTGTGATAGCTATTCACCTTCCTTGGCCAGGCAGGATGAAGAGCGGACACCTCAGGAAATGCCTAGTAAGATCAAAAGTTGATTTCAGAAAGCTGAAATCATATCTGAATAGTGATAGAAAGTTTTCATCGTTTGGAATCGGAAACACGATATAGAGTAGTTTTGTTATTATGTGGATAAGATAGAATATGGTGAACAGGTGTCACCATAATAATGTTAAAAAGATCTAAGGACGTGATGAGTACGTATAGAAGAACTCAAGGATAAGTGCATCAGTGAAAAGTGTATAAGATGTATAAAGTCAGAGCTTATGAGTTTGAAACGAAGTGATAGTATTGCGCATAAACAAGAGTATGTTTATGATAAGGGTTTGCAGTTAAGATGAAAAGAGTTAGCATTGGCTAACTAGAGTATGTGATAAAAATGTACTGGAATTATAAGATTATAAGATATTGTCAGGATATGATAACCAGATCTGCAATGGATCTGGATATAGTTGCATATTTGGATCATAGTAATGTGGTATAGTAAAGGAAAAGGAAGTAAGAATTGTATATTTAAGTAAAGCTGAGGATTGATAAGAAGTGTTTGAGAATGTGTATATCGATGATCAGATTATAGGACACAGGAAGTCAGAATGTTGAGTTTGAGCAAAAGAAATTTCAGGATGTATGAGAATAGAGGTGAAATTGATAAGTTGAGTAAGCGAATTTTGAGATAATCTAGATTGGAAAGGATGTATATGATTGGTATAATAGGGCTTGTGCCCTAGATTGAACAAAAGTTATTATCTAGCTGTCAGAGTAAAGGTGCTAGAGTTATAAGATTGGAGGAAAGATATAGTGGAGTTAATTGATTATGATGTGAATTTGAATATAGTTGTATATTCTGAGCAGATAGCTATAATGTAGAAACAGAGATAAGTATTTGCATGGAACCTTCAGGAAGGAAAATACAAGTATAATAAATGATAAAGAATGAAGTTATGTATAAGAAATGAGTTATCAGAGTAATGAGGATGCAATGAAGATTAGTACATAAAGATGAGTATAAGTGATAAGACAAGAGTATGTGGACATGAAAGGAAATATATGATTTATGTATAAGGAATAAGGAATAAGGAATAAAGAAATGAAAGGGATTGATTTAAAGGAATCAGATACGATAATATGGAAGTACAGATGACGATTTTGATATAGAAATAAGACAAGTGTGCAAGGTGATGTGAAAATATTGTTTGACTCCTTAAAGTATGTTTAATCACATTGAAGAAGATTTAAAGTTGTGTTTTGGTCAAATGATGACGAAATACAAGTTTGGTATGGTTATAAGGTAATTAGAGAGTTATGAAGAAATAGATGGATTTATGATATAGAGATGAAAGTATAAACGAAAAAGATAGTTGGAAAACTAAAGGATTGAAAAGTAAGTTTCTGATGATGACAAGAAAGAATAAGTCAGGGAAGCAACATAAGAACATTAGAAGATATGTTCCTATTAAGATGTGCAGTGAAAATTCGAGGATGAATTTTCTTATAAGGAGGGGAGATTTGTAACATCCGCAATACCGGGTTAGTGACCAAATTGTAAAGTTTCAGAATTTGATGACTAAAGTAGAAGAATGAAATAATTCAATGATTATTTGAATATATAATGAAGGTTATTTGGTAATTATTAAAGGAAATTAAGGGTATTATGGTCTTTTCCTTTAAAAGATATTCTTCCCCCTTTTATAAGAGTGAAAAACGTGGGAAATTTGAGAAACATCCAGAGTTCTCTTCTTCTTTCTTCTTCTTCATACGTGGGAGAGCAAGGCAAAGGTAAGTTTAATTTCAGTTGGTTAATTCTTGAGTTTTAAGCTTAGTTTTGATTCTTTGGGTATTAAATAAGCTTAAGGAAAGCTTATATGAGATTTAAACAATAAGATAAATGAATTATGAAGGAATTTGCAATATGAGTTTTAAGATGAAATTTTGATATGGTATGGTTGTTGAAGTTTTATGGATGAATTTGACTTGTTATCAATCTAATTAAGAAGTATGAAGTGTTAGAATTGGAATTAGAACACATTGAAAATTTGGTATGATTCTTGAATCTCATATGGAAGATAGGATTTTAAGGTTTAAGATGAAATAAATGAATATAGATTGGTTTAAGTATGTGTACTAGAGTTACGAATGAAAAGGGGATGAGATATAAGTGTTTGAGAGGAAATGAAGTAATTTTCGAGTTAAAAATATGATTTCTGGGCAAGGGGAATCGGTACCCATTCAAGGGGAACCGATACCCCTTCAAACGAACAAAAATTTCCAGAATGTCATGAGGGAATCGATACCCCCTCAGTAGGGAACCGATTCCCCCTAAAGGAAAAATGTGAATATTGGTTTAATAAGTTCGTTTAAGTTGCTAGTATCCAATTACAAGGTGTAGGTATCTAATGATTGCCTCAAAATGTACATTTATGTAGATTCTGCACGTAAAGCAATTCCGGAACATTTGGCAAGTAAGATCGATCAAGGGAAGATAAGAGATTGGAATGGACTAGTGAGGCAAGGTGAGTGCATACTAGTGATATGTAGTGTTTAATGGAAATAAGACTTGCGATGAGTCTATTTCCTAGAGTAATATGCATGAAGTCATGGACATGATTATGTGTGGTTATAATTATGTGGTTATCTGTATTACATTGATTGTATGTATGCATGACTAAAGATAATGATATGCTTTGTATATGCTATATGATGTATGTAAGACTTTAATATGTAATAATGGAAGAACATGAGATAAATTATATGATAGAGTCATAAGAAATGAAATGAACATGAGAGAATAAGATAATCAAGTATAAGTTATAGGATATGGTATAAGTGATTATACGAGAAATGTTAGGAGACTCCAAGAGAATAGTATGAATTCGAGGGCATAAATAAGGATACATAAGTAATATAGGGAAGATTGATAAATTAAAGGAAACTATGGTTTATGTATTATAGTGAAGAGCTACAAAGTTTTATTAAAGAGTATTGTGGAAGTCATGAGAAATTGAACTAAATAAATAGATGGTTTATTTGAATAAAAAGGGGAAAATGATATAAAATAAGTTATGAAATTATAGGAATATAGAAGATAAGTCGAGAGATGTAGGGAAATAGAAATAGATGTTTATTAAGAGTCATAGGAGAACAAATATATGTAATATGATAATGAAATATAAGACTATGTGGATACATGGTTATGAGATAAAATATGTAATAATAGGAAATATGATGAAAGTGAGTTTATAAGAAGTGATATGAACTAGGTAAACATGGGTAACAGTATATGCATAATGGAAACATGAGTTGGACAAGTACCTAGTGGTATGATTTATTATAAGAATTAGTATAATGGAGCTATATGAAAAGATTATAATGAATATATGAAATTGAATTAAGTAAAGAGATTAAATTAGTACCTAAATAAAAATACTATTAAATGACATATGTTTAGAAATACAGCATAATTTATAATCTAAGGGAATACAAAGAAATATAGCATAAGGTAGATAATATGATATCCGTTATTATATATCTATATGATATATGTCATCAGGTAATATGAAAGAACTCTGAAAATTGATATAAGCTAGGAGAAATTGTTCTATGTGTTATATGAAGCATATATGATCATATGTGAACAAGATATGATATGTATGTTTATATGAATATCTGAGAAATGATCTAAGCTATATGATATGATATGTGTGATTATGTGCACTTTGTGAAATATGTTATATGATATGGATCTATGTAACTACGTGAGAAAGTATATAAGCTATGTGACATGTAAATGTGACTCATATGAAAATGTTCTATGAGTAATTGAACTATGTGTTATGTGAAATGATAAGTATAAAAGAAAATGCCCATGTTATGTGTCTTGAGAGCTAGGGGTATAGTTGGCATGCCAAGAGTAGAGGGTCTACGCGGTCCTTCAGGACAATATTCTACGCGGTCCTTCGGGATAATATTCTACGCGGTCCTTCGGGACAATATTCTACGCGGTCTTTCGGGATATATATATATTCTTTGGAACATGTGTGAAGTCTGGTGAGACACATATATGATCCCTAGCATATGTATATGATTCTTAAGGAATTCTATGTGGTCCTTATGGACATCATTATATGGCACTACGGTGCAATTCTACGCGGCACTTCGGTGCATTTATACGAGCTATGGTGACAGCATAGTGCACAACCTCACAATACTCAGATACCTTAGGTTCTCAATATGATATCATGGGCCAATAAACTCATTAATACAAATTCATGAATGTTAAAGCAATATGCTTACAGGTATGGATATTGGTGATATGAGAACAATGTATGTGATATATGTATATGATTTGTGATATGATGTGTGCATGACATGATATATCTGTGATAGGGGTAATGGTATCTGTTACATAATATGCACGAATATATGTTGATGTATATGTAAATGAGTTGTAGAATTGATAGCATAAAACAGTCATGCATGATTAGTGGGTATGAATTCCATTAGATGTGTTTTCTTTATGCCTCACTAAGTCTTCGACTTAGCGTGTGATTGTTTCACACGTAGGTTTCGAGAAGAGTAAAGAGTAATGCGGAGCAAGACAGGTCAGTTTTCCTTACCAAATGTCAGATCAGAAAATATAGGTACTGTATATAGAGTGTAGTTGGCATGTAGTCTAAAGACATAAATTGTATGAACTCTGATATATATTTTGTAAACGTTTTGAATAAGTTAAATGTTATCAAAGTTTTTAAATTACTCACTATTTTATACGAATAAATGTTTGAAAAGTCAATGTGACACTTCGGACTCGTATCCGGATCGGATACGGGTTGGGGGTGTTACATGGCCACCAAATTTTATTTATCGGAGATACAAAAGAGACAAGTGGAAAAAATACAAAAGGTAAGAAAACGAGACTAAAAGGATGATATAACATATGCTTAGTGTCATGAGATTATTACACCATTCTCAAAAAAATATGTCCAATAGGGCGTACAACGACATTATTTTTAAATTCCTAAACTTCTATTTTCTTTTTTCGATTTGGGTTTAATGTCTCTCATATCTTCAAGACATGACATTAATACATAGTAAAATTTAATTAATTGATTGACTATAAGGACACTAATGACATTAATGAGTGGTGTGATAGATGATTGAAGACGATGAGATCCGTTCGCTAAGGAAGGAGATGGTTCCAAAAGCGCAGCTCATGTCTTTTTTCGACAGGCCCTTCTTCCCTCAAAGGTAGAATAACATAACATAATAACAAAATGATACGTAAAACATATAATAAATAATAATTCGAAAGTGCAGATCGAACCGGCCTTTAACGATCCCGAGAGAGCCGAGTTTCCGGTCGGTGAATTCAAAATGCTGGAGCTGCATATTGGAGAATGAGCTCTACTATTTCCAGCATGCTCACTCTTGGAATCCCCATCAAATGAATCAATGTTTCAACCTAATTGACAGTGAACGCTAATGGGATTGATGGCCTACGTGCGTGCATGCATGCATGCTGATCAATGTACAATATCAGTATACGTATAGTTTGTAGGTTGTTTCGTTTTATGTCACGTGTATCTCGTTTCTTTTGTCATTGTCTTGGCGTTTTGTCTGTTTAGACAGTGTGAGTAGCTCTAGATACTTGTAACCTGAAAATCCTTCCCCTAGGCTTCATCGTGTAGTGTCGAATAAAGACGGATTGCATTTTACTTTTTGGCATAAGAATCTCATAATTCCCTTTCAATTCTTCTCTCTTCCATCCATGCAAACCAAACGATGCATAAAGCACAAGCAAATACGATTACTCGATGAAAGAAGTTTGTCATATCTTATAGTACTATTTGATTTGACAAGATTAATCTCTATTTAGACCGTTAAATAGATAAACTGAAATACTTATAATACAACCAGAAATAGTTGATTAATCATCCTTCTACAAAGCGTATGATTTCACTTATCATAGGCCATTCTGGTATATGTTTTCTTTTCAGTTTGAGACATTCAATAAAGAAGGAATTGATTATGTAACACAAGAAACCCGATAATAAATTAGAAAGCCTTTGAAGCCCAAATTTTAATAAACCAACCAAATTCAAGGATTGAACAAAGGCCCGAACAAACTCGAATCCAAAGATTCTAAATCCTAAATTCTAAATCTTAAACCCTAAACTCTAGATAAAACAGATGGTTTTAATGCAGTCTCAATTACAAAATATATACTTAATATAAAAGTCTCCTTTTATTCATTCCATTCTTTTATTACCATTTCCTTTGTTATATAATTTATTAATTAATATACTGACGGATGTAAATGGGATTTAGGGTGAGTCCGTGTCTATCTTGAAATCCGAATTTTTTTATATTAATTATTCATTTTACTGATTGTACTCACTCTTAAAAAAATTTATTTATACACGCCTTATACAAAATTTTTTTATTTTTAAAATATATGTCCTCACTCTCAAAAATATTTATTAGCCGTCGATGAATTAATAGTTCGAAGTTGGTCTATAAGAGATGATGGGTAGTCTCTCCAGTTAATTATATCGTTATGGGCCTAAACATCCGAAGCCAGTAATTAGGTCATGAATGAGTTGGGAAGATAAGCATAAAGTAAAGGCAGTGAGTGAAGCAAAAGACGTAGTGATGATTAGCAATTCGTATTAGATAAACCCCAAAGTTTGTGTGGGTTCCTCCTGCCTTCTGCAATCATATATTCCATTCCATTCCATTCCATTCCGATGGCTACAACTTAATCTTTTTCATAAAGAAAATAATTATTTAATTCCTCAAGGCTTGTAATTGCAATGATGCTTTTGTTTTATGAACAAGTGCTTCTGGCTTTTCTCTTTTTATATGTACAACGCGGCTTAAACCTCGCATTTTCCTTTCTCACCAACTTAAAAGAATAGCAGCTTCCATAAAATTTAAATATATAGCCCTGTATGATTTGATTGTGTTTTTTCTTCTTTTTATTTTTATATGCAGGGGCTGAGCGAGATAGGGTTTTGGCTCCTGTTAAAATTTATATATTCGATATAATTTTAGTTTAATAGTATTTTGGTTTATGTAAAAAAAATTATTTAAATTTAAAAAATATAAAAAAAATTATTAAATATTTAATCAAGTGGGGGTCAAACTAAAGAATGATAAGTCTGTGTTCTCAAATTTTTGGTGTAATTATAATTTAAGTCATTTTAGGTTTAAATATTAGACAAATTAGAAGTTGATTTTTGAGTTTTGAGGGGTTTTTAAAATTTAAGGCGAATATAAGGTAATATATGTACAAAGACTTTCAAATATTTGACAATGAACACTCGTACCCTTAAATAAACGTGCTTGAACTCAGGACCTCAAGGATAACAATAATCTCTTAATCGTTGAGGTCGCTTGGTTCATGCTAAATTTCAAATTTAAATACTTAATAAGTCTTTATAATTTTATTAAATAATCTAATATTTCGACCCTACCAATTTTTAATTCTGGCTTTGTGCCTGTTTATATGCCAATTTTTTTTATCAAAGCACCATCCACTAAATTAAACATCACAAGTATAGAAGGAAGAGACGCTTGAGAACCGAAGAAATGGAGACAGAACGAAAGAGAGCCGAAATATTTATATATTAAAAATGAAGAGAGGAGAGCGAGCAATAAAGACAAGGACAAATCAAAGAAGGAAGAAAGAAAATAAATGAAGAACAAATAAGATAAAAAAAAAAAGACATATTGGAAGGGTGAAAGACAAAGTTGATGATCAACGGTCAATACATAAGTGACTCTGACAATGATAATGACAATGAAAGAAAGTCAATTAAATTAGGATTTAGTTTAAAGAAAAACTGAGTTTATACATAAATTTGATTTAAGATAGAGTCTAAGTTTTATGAATTCTAAGACCTTAAGTTTTAGTCTTGTCGTATGTAAATATATTTACGAATTCGAATTGAAGTTTCAATTGATTAAGTTTCATCCTATGTAGATTAAGTTTAAATTCAATTGGTAGAGCACAAGGCTCTTAATATTGTGGTCGTGGGATCGAGTCCTACTGAGGGCAATTCATAACGGATATCTTTTACGGAAGCTACTCTCAACCTGACGTTGGGAGCAGCCTACTACCTTACCTCCCCTTACCCCACTACATATGAGAATAAGGTCAGCTAGCTATGTAGATTAAGTTTAAATATTTTTTATATATAAATTTGAATATGTCTACATTTGGTTTATATTTATTTTAGTCTAAATTCAAATGTATTTTGATTTTAAAATTTATATAAATAAATTTTATTATATATGAATAAAACCTTGCAAAAGGGCAGTGAAATCAAAATATAACCACCAGATATAATATCTGTGGCATTAACTCCAAAGTGCAACCAAAATAAGCTACCAAAACCGTGAGTCAAGGAGAATGGCAGAGCTACGCGTGTACTAGGGAGCGGGGACCTTGTTTCAATGTTCATGTGAGCCTTTATTCAAACAAATCTTAAATTTACACAAAATTTTATTTTTTTTATAATTTGAGGATAAATAATAATATATGTTTATAACAATGATTAATTATTAATAATATATACACACCTTTATTAATAATATATATACACACCATCTAAAGAGAACAATATTTTCTTTTATTGTATAAATATTTTCATAAAATTTGATTTAAATGTATAACAATATTGAACGGTAAATAACCTTTATCAAATTATAAACAAAATTACTTAATATTAATTTAATTATTAAAAAAAGGGTAAAGTACATAAATAGTCCTTCGACTATATGGTGCTACTTTGTTGAGTCTCTCGACTATTAAAAGTTACAAAATGGTCCCTAGGGTGTAGGGATGGCAAAAAAATCAGAACCCGACGGGAAAAATCGAAAACCGAATTAAACGGAGACGGAGAAAAACCGTTTATGTTAAATTGAGACGGGGACGGATTTAGTAACCCCCGCCCCGATTACCCAGCCCGATACCCTGCCCGATAAATATTAAAAATAATTATATATATATATATATATATATATATATATAATATTAATAAATTTAAATTAAATTAAAAATATATATATATAATATTTATATATTTAATTTAAATATATATACCCGACCCGATACCCGTTTATGCTAAACGGGATACCCGTTTTCCCGCAGTTTTTCCCGATTACCCGATGAGGATCCCCGTTTAAATCCCTGCGGTTTTTTAAACGGGGACGGGTACGAGTTTTTTAAACGGGGACGGGGGACCAATACTCGGCCCAAACCCGACCCGTTGCAATCCCTACTAGGGTGCTACTTTGTTGAGTCCCTCGATTATTAAAAGTTATAAAATGGTCTCTTGACTATAGGGTGTTGCTTTCTTGAGTCTCCCAACTATTAAAAGTTACAACATAGTCCTCTGACTATTCATATGTTCCAAACTCATCATGTTATGTTAAAGATTTGTAGCCATTTGACTTGAATGTTAACTTGTTGACTAAGATATAATAAAAATTTGATCATAGAATCGTTTGAGATGTATTTTGTGGATCGACTCTTTGTTTACACTATGTCGTCGAGTCAGTGCTTGAAATATTTTTCGTCGAGACAATGCTTGAAATATTTTTCGTCGAGACAATACTTGAAAGTAACGGTGGTGTCAATAGATATCATTAAAATATGATTGTATCATATCTCATTCGGTAAGTTAACGTCCAACACAGACGAATGTCAATTTTCTAACGGAGAAAGACAAGTTTGGAACATATAAATAGTTCAATGACCATTTTATAACTTTTAATAGTTTAAAGACCTAATAAAATAGTATCTTATAGTTAAGGATCATGTTAAGACTTTAAATAGTTAGGAGACTAACAAAATAGCGTCTTATTACATTTGTTTGTTTAACCTAAAATAAATTACCTACTTTGATTTAACAAAGACAATAGTAAGGGGGATTGTATAAGGAGAAATAATCCTACATTGATTAAGGAATGATTAGATTATAGCTGAATAGAGTAAGTATCATCGTCCTCTAATGAGATTTTCTCTAAAATAACAATATAAAATTAAATGGGCAACGAAACAGCAAATTGCGTAGTGTTGGTTTGTCTGTACGTGATGTTTTGTTTTCATCTTGCTGATTTTTCAACAACGACGGTGATTTTTTACCCGAATCAATCATTTCCCCCCCCCCTCTGATTCTCTTTTTAAAAGGCTGAATAGAAAGTGGGCGTACGTGTTAGTTTCTCGAGAAAATTAGCAGAAAGTGAGAAACTTTATCACTTTCACAGCTGTGTTGCCTTCTTAATTCCTTCTTTCTTAGCTTCCACACTCAATCATGCCCCAATGGACCACCATCTTCCTTCGTCTCCATTTCCATTTTGCCAAGTGTTTGGACGTTCTTCTTTTCCTTTTTATATCCCCATTTTAAGGCTGACCATTCAATTTTCTCCATCAATTCACTC